CATTTTGGTCATCATGGATGTGGTGGACCTGTTCCTGCCGGTATGTTGCTCGTCCATTGACGTGGCATGTCACTTCCAAACTCTACTGACAAGATGTAGGCTGCCAAGTGTCTCAAGTATGCGGGCTACACAACTCTTTGCGACGTCATGTTTGGCGTCTTCATGCTCTCATGGCTTGTGGCCCGCCACTTTGTCTATGTCATGGTTTGTTGGTCAGTCTACGCCCATACTCCCGAGATAATGCCCACGGGCTGTTTCCGCGGCAGCAATGACAACCTCATTGGACCTGAGGACCCGCCTGCCGGTCTTTCGTGGCTCATTGAGCCATTCCTCAGCTCTACCGGTCGAGTTTGCTTCAATGAAACCGTCAAGTGGTCATTCCTGACCCCCTTGCTCGCTCTGCAGGGCATTACCATCTTCTGGTTCACCATGATTGTTCGCGTAGCCATGAAGGTGCTTCGTGGTGACGGAGCAGAAGACTCTCGGAGTGACGACGAGGCTGTCGAAGATGAGGATGAATACGTCTATGAAGAGGCAGAGCCTCTCGAGGAGGAAGTCGACGCCGATGAAATTGATCTTCGAAGCTGGGAACGAAGAACTGGCGTTAGGCGACAGGCCAGCAGCTCCGGTGTCAGCCTCCCGGGGCATAGCGATCGTAAGGAACTACTGGGACGAATTGGTTGCGAGAAGCAGGTTGATTAAGGAGTTAGGGACAGCGGAGTTCAAGGCGTTGGGACTTGCTTACTGCTCGCACCCATTTCTCCCGGACTCCAATGATACGTTGCGGCTCAATCGGCCCGTTGCATTCAAGTGTTGGGCATGGTTCTATTTTTATGATCTTGCTTTGTCTTGTTGGGTTAAGTGATGACGCCGGCCCGGACTTGGAACGGGAACGGGGAACCGGACATTGCCATAGTTGGTTGTTGTTTTCGTTTCTAAAGGCTTGGAATGGGATATACATCGTGCGCAGTGAATGTGCAGATGCAAGATGACGCATGAGAGCGGGAACTCCTAGACTTTGCATTAGCTGAAACAGCTCATTATGAATCATGAGTAGGGGCCAGGCCGTGATGTGAAGGTGAAGTGAAGATGATGTATGATCAAGGATGCTTTAGATGTTGAAAACGACATCAAGCGGAGAAGAAGCCTGATTTGGTCTCAACTGAGCCGTTGGTAGATTCACAAGGAAGAAATTGCCAAAGCCAATCAATCAGTGGAAACTTTATATCCAAGAATGCAATGCAATCCGCTCATATATACATGGCTTTCGAAACACGGCCAAACACGGCCATTTCAATCCAACCTCGACGGGGCCTCTTTTCCCTGAAACAAGGTCATTTCCCTTGCAGAATCTTGACCGCCATGTCCCTCAGCTTGAATTTCTGAATCTTGCCGCTCGCCGTCTTGGGGTAGTCGTCGACCCAAAACACGTGTTTCGGCACCAAATGGCCGGACAGCCGGGTCCTCACCCACTCCCTCACGACCTCCTTTTTCAGAATCTTGTCTCCCTCGCCGCCGCGGCCGTGCTGGCCGTCCCCTTTCCATCCGCGATGGGGCACGATGAAGGCGGCCACGCTCTCGCCCAGCCTCTCGTCGGGCACACCCACGACGCTCGCCTCCATGACGCCGTCGAGCTGGAACAGGCAATTCTCCACCTCGAGCGGGTGGATGTTCTCGCCGCCGCGGATAATGAGGTCCTTGATGCGGCCGGTGATGGTGACGAAGCCCTGCTCGTCCATCTGGGCCTCGTCGCCCGAGTACACCCAGGTGGTCTCGCCGGGGGACCCGTCGAGGTTGGGCTCGGCGACGCGCACGTCTGCGGTGCGGGCGTCGTCGCCAAAGTAGCCCTTCATGACGAGGTAGCCGGCGGCGGCGAGCTCGCCGGGGGTGTTGAGGGGCGCGAGGCGGGCGCGGTCGCGGGGGTCGACGATCTTGACGGCGGTGTGGGGCATCGGGGTGCCGACCGAGGCGCAGCGGCGGGCCCCCGGGGGGGGGGG